GGAGGGCTGCTGTCCTGCAGAGTGTAGCTCCAGAGGTTTCCTCAACACTGCTGCCAGGAGGATTCTGCCGGTGCTCCAGGTCAGAGTTTGGCGGTGTGGACCCTCCCGGCGTCCCCTGTTCATCAGCAGCTCCAGTGTGCCGTCAGTCTCGGGTTACTCCTCTCCTTTGATTACGGCACTTGGTTTTGTCTGTAATGTCATGCAGTTCTGCACTCGCAGCCGCTGTAGACGAGGAGTAACTCCGCACTCGCTCTGGTGCTCTTCTGAATCAAGCAGCTGCAGATGCTGTTGTCCACCAGTGTGTGGCGCTGCCGGCTGGAGGATCGTCAGTTTCCACAAGCCCTCCTCAGAACCCTTTCTGTGGTCAATAATGTAGAGCAGACTGGCTGCGGGATAATGGCCTCCTATGTCAAAATACTGCAGCGGATGATCACAGAGAGTCAGGGAGCGTGTGCTGGCTCAGGGAAATCATCAATCATCAATCACCACAGAGAAATAAAGTCAAAGAAACTTGATTAAACAGAGACGCATCTGCAAGAAGCAGAACTGACATTACTCTGAGGCTCTAGCTGTTGTTAGTGAATATATAAAGAGATGTTGTTTAAAATAGAGGAGAGGTTATCAGACTGCGATGCGTGACGTGGTATATCGAGCCGCAGAACTGAAGAGTTCCTCCTCCCGCTCGCCTGCATGCGTTTCTCCCTTCATCTCCTTCTTTCTTTGCCTTTCATTGTTTCCATCAGTCTTTTCTTTATTTCCACCACCATCCAGTCCTTCAGTGTGTTTCATCACTTGTGTAGCTGTAGCTGATGTTTGCAGATGTTATTACCTGAGCAGTGTGTGTGTGTGTGTGTCTGACTCTTGTTTTCTGGTTGTGGGCTCTCAGACTCCCACCGTGCCCAAACACAAGTCTTCCTCCTCCTTCACTCCTTTCATTGACCCGCGTCTGCTGCAGATCTCTCCATCCACCGGCAGCGCACTCAACAACGCAGGTGAGTGATGCGAGTGTGTGTGTGTGTGTGTGTGTGTGTGCGTGTGTGTGTGTGTGTGTGTGTGTGTGTACTGATGGTGGTTGTCGTCTTTTCTCAGGTTACAGTAATGATGCTCGGCTGCAGGAGGCGCTGCGGCAGGACGCGTCCCGCAAGGGTTCAGTTGTGAATGTCAATCCCGTGAACACGCGACCACAGAACGACACGCCGGAGATCCGCAAATACAAGAAGAGGTTTAACTCCGAGATCCTGTGCGCGGCGCTCTGGGGTGAGTTTGAGTGTCAGACCCGTCTGTGCTCCAGCTGTAACACACAGCACAGATCCTGCATATCACTGCTCATTCCACTATAGGCAAAGCTGACGCTGTGTACAGGAATATTCACATACATCAGCTCCCCGTCTCCGATATAAAGACCGACCCTACAGGAGTGTGAGAAACTCTGAAAATCAGCTGTGTGTGTGTGTGTGTGTGTGTGTGTGTGTGTGTGTGTGTGTGTTTCAGGGGTGAATCTGCTGGTGGGGACGGAGAGCGGGCTCATGCTGCTGGACCGCAGTGGTCAGGGTAAGGTGTACCCGCTCATTAACCGCCGGCGCTTCCAGCAGATGGACGTCCTGGAGGGACTGAATGTGCTCGTCACTATATCAGGTAAGCGTGAACACCTCATGCTGAAGCCAGTTTCTTCCACAGTCACTTCTCCATTTCTCAACATCCGCTCTCATGTTCAGTTTCTCTACACCAACACAGGCCTGTTCTGCTATTTGGCTGTTTCTGCTCACGTCTCAGACAGGACATGCAGTGAGGAAACACGAGGGCCGCTCTATACCGAGACACATTGTGCAAGCCGTGTTTTAATGACACAAGCTGTAGTGTATGAGTTTTAGACATGTGGAAATGTTCCATGACACACACAAGGTTTCGAAAGCGTTGGTGACATGAAGTGTGTGTGTGTGTGTGTGTGTGTGTGTGTGTGTAAACCCTTTACCGCAGTGTTTATCAGCTCCTGCATGCAGTATTTGTGCTTGTCAGTTCAGTCCTAGCACCACAGAACCTTCAAATGAGCCGCTTTCTCCAGCATGTCATGTGTTAGGTTGGCCTCTGGTGCTGTTTGTACACAAACGGTGTGTAGAAGTCCTTTACGGCCTGTTTTCACTAACTGGTACAGTACTGTACGTTACGGTATGGTACAAGTCAATCAGGCTTGCGTTTCCACTGCCTTACAGGGTACCAGTGATGCACTTTTGGTGTGTGGAGCAGGACAGAGAGTGTGAGTAGCTGTGATTCTCGCTGGATGACTAGAGTAAAGCTGTACGGGTCGCTCACACATCATATGAGCAGCACTTCACACACACACAGACGCTTCACACACATCAATACTGTATAAATGTTCATCACTAACCTTTCATCAACATGATCACACCTGCAGACCAGTGATAATAGCCTACTGTAATGTCTGCAGTGAAATACAATAAGTAAATGAACATATATGAACACACACAGCCCCTACAGTCCCCAATATGATACCAGTTACAGATGCACTACACACAGCGGACATTTAGTCCATATTTAGGTTCAAAACAGCAGGAGATATAGCGCAGAGTCAGAGCTCTCATCTGTGTGTGCAATCTTCAGCAGCACGTGAAGCCAGAGAGTCATCCCCAGCTCAGAGTCGTCCAGCAGCTGATGATCAGAGCTCGTCATGGCCGTGTGTTCATCTGCAGCTGCTGAAGGAGTCATTCACTGCTGTGTGTCGCGCTTCGCTCTCGCGTTTGTCCGTTTCTGACAGGATGGCAGAAGCTCTTCAGTAATCATGCGCACGCTATCATCATCACCTCCAGAAGTTTGTCACTTTTAAATATAGACGCGCGGCGAGCGCAAGCGAGAAAGTGAATCCGCTGGTGCTTTAGACGGCCCTGTACACTACTGCGGGGCACAGGGTAGATTCCTGGTACCCTTCTGTTTTGCTAGGTACCTATCTGACAGGGTACCCAAAAAGGGGTCTGGTACAGTTTGTTTTAGGTGCCCTTTACAGTGTAAACGGCCGTAATAGTGTACCGTACTGAACCACTCAGGGGAAACGGGCCATTGGGACTTGACTAATTGTAAATGAATGGCAGGTCTTGGTTTAATACAGGAACACTGCAGTCACTCCTAATATATTTAGTATGTGAACAGTACAACGGTTTGATGCAGATATCCTCCACGTTGGTCAGGGATTCTCTTCAGTAAAGTCGTGGTAATACCTGCTGCTTGGTTTTACAGCGCTTCAGACGTTTCTGTCCTTCGTCTTCACACTCTAGTTTGATTGGTTGTTTGTGTGAGAGAGCTCTGCTAGTCCACTGCTTCCTACTTGATGTCCTGTCAATGACTCACACACACACACACACACACACACTCACTCCTGGTGTATCGTGACGCGCTGGTTTACTGTTTCAGGGAAGAAGAATAAGCTGCGTGTCTACTATCTGTCCTGGCTGAGGAACAAGATCCTCCACAATGACCCTGAGGTGGAGAAGAAGCAGGGCTGGACCACCGTGGGGGATCTGGAGGGGTGTGTGCACTACAAAGTGGGTAAGTGTGCACCGGCTGCAGGTTAGTGAAGGCCTGTGAGACTGTGGATGAACTGTTACACTGACGGCTGTTCGTCTGTTTGCTCTGCAGTGAAGTACGAGAGGATCAAGTTCTTGGTTCTGGCTCTTAAAAACTCAGTGGAGGTGTACGCCTGGGCCCCCAAACCATACCATAAATTCATGGCGTTCAAGGTGAATGATCCTGGACCTCTACACACACACGCACGCACACACACACACACACACACACACACACACACGCACTCTCAGATGAAGCGCTCCGGTCTGCATCAGTGTTTTCCCTGAGCTGACTCTGCAGATGTCTCCATGATGGTCAGGAGTGTATCGCTGACGGACGCTCTCTCTGTTTCAGTCGTTTGGGGATCTGGTGCACAAGCCGCTGCTGGTCGACCTGACGGTTGAAGAAGGTCAGAGGTTAAAGGTCATCTACGGGTCGTGCTCGGGCTTCCATGCAGTGGACGTGGACTCTGGAGCGGTCTATGACATCTATCTGCCCACTCATGTGTGTATATGAAGAGCGCTGAGCTGACCTGGATGATCCGCAGTGTTCCTCACACTCCTCTCTCTCTCTCTGTGTGTGTGTGTGTGCAGATTCAGACCAGTATTCAGTCTCACGCCATCATCATTCTGCCAAACACTGATGGCATCGAGCTGCTGGTGTGTTATGAGGACGAGGGTGTGTACGTCAACACATACGGCCGCATCACCAAAGACGTGGTGCTGCAGTGGGGCGAGATGCCTACATCTGTTGGTACGAGAAACTCACACACACACACACACACACACACACACACACCAATACACACACGTTTGTTTTAGTGAACTGCGGGGACATTCCTTAGGTTTCCACAGTTCTTCTACTGTTCAAACAGTGTTTTCCTCTTGGCTAACTCCACCCTGAGCCCTGCTCATTGGCCGGCTCCAGACTGTAGGCCAGCCGCTGTGAGTGTGTTCGTGTTCTCATCTGCTGTTTCTGGTTGTGCTGCAGCTTACATTCGCTCTAACCAGATCATGGGCTGGGGAGAGAAGGCCATCGAGATCCGCTCTGTGGAAACGGGACACCTGGACGGAGTCTTCATGCACAAAAGAGCACAGAGACTCAAGTTCCTGTGTGAGAGAAACGACAAGGTGAGACTCTACAGCTGTTCAGTCCGGCCGTACTGGAGGAGCAGGTAGAACAGCTGAGAGACGTCCTGTCCACCGCTTCACCTGCAGCTGACTATTATACTGACCTGCTGTCTGTTTACAAGAGAAGCACTGAAGATGAACAACAACCTGTGTGTGTGTGTGTGCGTGTGCGTGTGTGTGTGTGTGCGTGTGTCACAGGTGTTCTTCGCCTCGGTGCGCTCCGGCGGTTCCAGTCAGGTGTACTTCATGACTCTAGGCCGGACCTCCCTGCTCAGCTGGTGATCGGGTCTCAGTCCACAGGCCCATGAGTGATGCTTACACACACACACACACACGCACACACACACACACACACACACACACACACCGTACTGTCCTCTGCATGAGGAGCCGGCTTGAGTATCTACAGTATTATTGCTAGTCTGTGTAAATGTCTTTCTCTAGAGTTTAAGGAATCTGGAGGAACGCTGAAGTTCTGCCTGGCGTCCAGCGGCGTACACACACACACACACACACACACACACACACACACACACACACACGGACGCGCACACACACACACACACACAGTCTTTATTTATGGGTTATATTTATTTGTAGGGCTTTTAGTTTGTACTGTAGTTGGAGTGTTGTGGGAGATGCCGACAGAACTTCAGTGTTCCAGTGTGAACTTTACAGATCCTCTGAAGAGGTCAAAGGTCACCTGAGGTCAACAGGAAGTGGCCGGTGGACTGACATCTTCTTCTTCTTCTTCTTCTTCTCTGTCCTCTGTCTGTCTCCTTGAGCCTTGTTCCTGCTGTGTGAATAGTGTTGAGCAGTGACGGCTTCAGTGTGTCTGTGTGTGTGTGTGTGTGTGTGTGTGTTCCTGCAGAAGATCCTTTGTTTGCTGCATCTGGACACACACACACACACACACACACACACACACACACTCTCCCTCTCTCTCCAGAACCGCTGTTTCAGCTGACCTCTGACCCAGGACTGATTTATAGGATGGGTTAACGTGAGTTTTTCCACACGGATGTTTCTCGTCATGCAGCGCCGCTGTGAATCTGAGATTATACACACACACACACACTCACACACACCGAAACGCCTCTCTGTAGGGACTCTTTCCTCATGTTTTATGTGAAAGACTGTCTGGTCATGGACTTTATTATAATGATTACTGTTCTGATTTGTAACTGACTGTGTATATATACTGAATAAAGCAGGACTGTGGTGTGAAGTGAGTGAGCCACGAGGAGGAGGAGGAGGAGGAGGAGGAGGAGGAGGAGGAGGACATGAGCTTGCATGAGTCCAGAGAAACTTCTGCTCTAGAAAGAGCTTTATTATTTCAGTCTGCTGTCTGTCCTTCCTCATTCACACATACACACACACACACACACACACACACACACACACACACACACACACACACACTCCCTCTTCTGCTCATCTTAGTGATCTGTTCTGTTTGCAGTCCTCACCTCTGCTCTCCTTCATCCAGTATTTATAGGTTTATATTTCTGTTGCTCGTGATCATTAGCAGTAGATCATGTTAGCGGTTCAACACAGAACTGATGGTTTATTCTGATGTGAAGAGACTCTTGCCATTGCTCAGCCGAGCGCGTGTAGAGACGCCTGACCTGAAGCTGTAATGTGGATGATCTCCTCTGCTTTACTCGTTGGCAGTTGTGTACGTCAGATATTGCCCTGACATGATTTCAGCATGCTGCAGAGGTGTTGTCCAGCGCAGGTTTGCAGATCTGATGTCCATCGCTGTCCTGTTTTGATATGATTTTGTATTATGATTTCAGCCATAACTCCTGCTAATGCTAGTGATGATGGGATGTGTCTCGGCTTCTCTCTGCTGACTGGTTGTCTGTTTCAGTCGTGGCACTGTATCGTTCGTCCTCTCTCTATATGACAGGAAGTCCTGTATTTTCCTGACGGTCCTTTGTTTTCCTTTGAAAATAAATTCCTTTACTTTAAGCGCTGATGCGTGTGCTCTTTCTTTCTCTTTAGGGTGAGGGTTAAGGAAGTCATCTATCGCTGCAGAGCTTCACACCTCTGTCTGTCTTTAATCTGGTCTGTAACTCCGCCCGCTGCCAGCTCAACCAATCATATTTCAGCACCCCGGGTGTAGAGCTGTGTGTTTTACTTCAGTGGTATAGACTGCCTCAGTGTTTGCGGACGCAGCTATGAGCGGGACCTCTAGAGGAGCAGCAGTCTCGAAATCAGATGCAGAGATGTAAAAGTGCACATGAGCTGGTTTAAATTAGCAAACAAATAATAACTAAACCCATCAACATTAGCTGATGAGCTCACAGCGCAAGGCTCGATCTTCAGGCACGCTCACTGGCTATAATACACCAAGGGTCAACAGCAGTTTACCAGTCAGAAAGATTTCAGTACAGTTCAACATTTCATTGGTCGGGTGTGAATTACATCACTGAACGATAACAAGCCAATTCCAAACTGATAAATGCACAACAGACACTGCTCAAAATCCCCTGAGAGATGGACAGCAGATCATGCAGAAGAACATAAAGCCTGGTTTATACTTCTGCGTCAGGTGACCGGCGTAACCCACGGCGCATGCAACACGTGCAGCTGTGCATGTATAATGCTGATGCTGTCTCTGTCGGTCTGCATTAACACTTCTGAAACACTAGTTGGCAGTGAGGTGTAAATCTTCCTCTGTGTCGAGTTTCTTCGCTTCTGTTTTGCTTTTCCTGAACACTTCCGGGATGTACAAGTGGCTCAAACTCGCTAATTTGAGGCAGGAACCGGCGGACGTGCAACAACTTTAGCTATGAGGTAAACACAGAACAAAACTTTCCATCCGGAGCTCCTTCACCAGACTCCACACATGTAAACAATCACTTCATCGGGCTCGCGCCATTCAGGCGGCTCTCGGTCCCGCCCAGACTCATCAGCGTTACCAAGCCAACCAATCACAGAGCATACGCTACGTGACGTGTAGTTACATTTTTTTAAGAGGTGCACGTCAGCGACGCCGACGGCCACGGCGAAGGGCTATGCGTCAGTGCCGCAGCATACGCCGGCGTTTGACGCAGAAGTATAAATCAGCCTTAAGCCTGGATGCACAGCTCTCTCACACACTGCATACACCGCGCTATACTGCCTGCAGGAGCCCCTACACCTGTTTAAACCCTTGCCATATGAACACAAAACCCTAACCAAAACTAAAACCCTAACCCTATCAAAACAAACAACCCTGAGTTTAAGACTCACCTGCCCACAGGTAACACTCTTTCACCTCACTGACACCTTAACCCACACAAACACTGCAATAATGGAGTGTGTTTCTCACAGGTGAGTGGGCTTCACAAACCACCTGTAGAAACTCAATAAAACAACTCGAGCACTAATTCTCTGAGCACAAGCAAGTTCCTCTGTGTAATCAGCAGGTGTTGTGTGCATGGCCTCGTGTTGAAGCGCTGAATGCCTCCTCAATTAAGTCACTTTAGTCATAAGTGTCTGCCAGATGTAAGACAGTAAAATCTCTACAGAACCTCCTTTATTTGTACCGTGGTGAAGAACAGCAGCTGGCATCGGCACATTCAGACCAACAGAGTTTCAAGGGAAGTTAAGACCGCTCTACACATCTGAGACGTTTAAAAAGAAAAGGAAAATACCCTGAGTTTACATGATATACTGTGCTTCTCCTTTGGGTCAACCACATCTCCTCTGGGGCAACTGGTTATCTTTTGGGGTGACTGGATCTTTGGGTTAAGTGGATTTTTTTCTGCGGCAGCTGGTTTTTCTCTGAGGTGACTGCTTCTCCTATGGCATGATTCTCGTCTGGTTTCTTCAGGTGAGCAGTTTTTCTTTGCTGTGGCTGTTCTTTTTTGGGCAGAACGGTTTTTCTTTGGGCCAACCTGATTCTCTTTGGGGTAACTGGTTTTCCTTTGGGGGGGGAACAGGTTCTCATTTGGGCAGCTGATTTTTCTCGAGGGTAACCAGTTCTTTTCTGAGATGATAGGTTCTCCTTTGGGATGACCGGTTCTCATTTGGCCAAAGGTGTTGTGCTTGAGAATGATGAGCGTCCCTCGTGGAGGAGCAGCAGGTCTGAGTCGGTCACCACATGATCGATGTAGAGGAGGTTTTTTCGTTTTGTTTACAGGAAGATTACCCTTAGTAACTTGCACTTGGAAAGCTCTTCTCATTTTCAGATCCCAAAACAAGTCCAGTGTTCAGCTGTTAGGAGGTCAATAAGATATACAGATTTACTCAGATTTTATGGTCGTCCATTTATTTATTTATTGTTCAAGCATTGATGAGAACATTCAGAATTTTAGTTCTTTTTATTTCACACTTAAAATGACAAACTAATATGACTAATTACAGCTATTTATTGACTCAACCTCCACAGTGGTCAACTCACCACACCGTTGAGCAAGAAACATTTCTTTTGCAGAGAAATCCAAGCACACGCAATCTAGTGTCTGTCTAAACTGAGAACGCTCTGTCATGTGAGATTACGACATCTGAACATGCTGATGACAGGACAAATGACTCACTTCATGTCATGTTTGATGATGAATAAATGTTGTCAAAGGTGATGAATGACAGATTGGTGTAAGAGTTATTAAAGGGAACTTGATTTTCACACTTCAGTTTACAGCGTCGGGCCTGTAGATCAGTAAATCTGTGTGTTGATGATGATAAACACCACATCCAGAACATCTGTCTGCTTCAAGCTGATCACTCTTACATCAAACTCATTATCCAGCTGTATAATAATTGACAATCTTACACTTCCTTAGAAGCAATCTCGCTGCCTATAAATATCCTGGTAGGGAAGCTACAAAAAGTGTGTCAGTTTCCTCTTTGTTTTCCCCCGCAATGTACAAACACTGGCATTTATTTTAGAAAACCACACGTTCATCAGACAGAGACACAACAGAGGCATACTCTAATATCAGCTGCGGAGAGCTCTAGTGTGCTGTACATGCTGATAGTGTGGTCAAATAAACTCGCCGGATCTGTCCAGCAGCTTAGGGTCTCGTGTTGTTTCGTTTCTGCATGCAGTAGCCTGACCATATATGCCCGCTTCTGCTTTTAAAGCAGAAAAGATTGAGGCTTCAGTGTCTCTTCAGCGGACGTCTGTCTCTATGTATGGATCTCTGTCTTCTTCTGTGTGTTCTGAGAAGATGAGTTCGATTAGCTCTCTGATTTGTAAATGTGGAATTTCCATGTATTGGTGAGGAAACGTGGTCTGCGGATTCAGGGTTTCCCCTATAACCTGTCCATAAAACAGAGAACATCCGTCCGCCTGTCGCACACGCTTCTGCCTTGACTTCTGTCTCTCCACGGTTATTAAACCTCTTCATCATCGGCATCATGGTCATCAGCACACAGGTGAGAATGCCAGATTCAGTCTACATTCCAGCACAGATCACAGGAACAGGGGAAACGGCGTCATTACCAACAAATATTAGTAAACTATTGCTGGAAATCATCGAGTCCTGCAGAGACACAATGTTCTATTAGTACATGATTTCCAGTCATTTACAGGGATATTGTGTAGATCAGTCGTGTGTGTGTGGATATTGTGTAGATCAGCGGTGTGTGTGTGGATATTGTGTAGATCAGTCGTGTGTGTGTGTGGATATTGTGTAGATCAGCCATGTGACTGTGGATATTGTGTAGATCAGCCGTGTGTGTGGATATTGTGTAGATCAGCTGTGTGTGTGTGTGTGGATATTGTGTAGATCAGTCGTGTGTGTGTGGATATTGTGTATAGATCAGGCTGTGTGTGTGTGTGGATATTGTGTAGATCAGCCGTGTGTGTGTGGATATTGTGTAGATCAGCCGTGTGTGTGTGGATATTGTGTGTGTGTGTGTGTGTGTTGTGTAGATCAGCCGTGTGTGTGTGTGGATATTGTGTAGATCAGCTGTGTGTGTGTGTGGATATTGTGTAGATCAGTCGTGTGTGTGTGTGGATATTGTGTAGATCAGCTGTGTGTGTGTGGATATTGTGTAGATCAGCTGTGTGTGTGTGTGTGTGTGTGTGTGTGTGTGGATATTGTGTAGATCAGCCGTGTGTGTGGATATTGTGTAGATCAGCTGTCGTGTGTGTGTGTGGATATTGTGTAGATCAGCCGTGTGTGTGTGGATATTGTGTAGATCAGCCGTGTGTGTGTGTGGATATTGTGTAGATCAGCCGTGTGTGTGTGGATATTGTGTAGATCAGCCGTGTGTGTGTGGATATTGTGTAGATCAGCCGTGTGTGTGTGGATATTGTGTAGATCAGCTGTGTGTGTGTGTGGATATTGTGTAGATCAGCCGTGTGTGTGTGGATATTGTGTAGATCAGCCGTGTGTGTGTGGATATTGTGTAGATCAGCTGTGTGTGTGTGTGGATATTGTGTAGATCAGTCGTGTGTGTGTGTGTGGATATTGTGTAGATCAGTCGTGTGTGTGTGGATATTGTGTAGATCAGTCGTGTGTGTGTGTGGATATTGTGTAGATCAGCTGTGTGTGTGTGGATATTGTGTAGATCAGCTGTGTGTGTGTGGGTGGGTATTGTGTAGATCAGCCATGTGACTATAGATATTGTGTAGATCATCTGTGTGTGTGGATATTGTGTATATCAGCCGTGTGTGTGTGGATATTGTGTAGATCAGCCGTGTGTGTGTGGATATTGTGTAGATCAGCCGTGTGTGTGTGGATATTGTGTAGATCAGCCGTGTGTGTGTGGATATTGTGTAGATCAGCTGTGTGTGTGTGTGGATATTGTGTAGATCAGCCGTGTGTGTGGATATTGTGTAGATCAGCCGTGTGTGTGTGGATATTGTGTAGATCAGCCGTGTGTGTGTGGATATTGTGTAGATCAGCCGTGTGTGTGTGGATATTGTGTAGATCAGCCGTGTGTGTGGATATTGTGTAGATCAGCCGTGTGTGTGTGGATATTGTGTAGATCAGCTGTGTGTGTGTGTGGATATTGTGTAGATCAGCTGTGTGTGTGTGTGTGGATATTGTGTAGATCAGCTGTGTGTGTGTGGATATTGTGTAGATCAGCTGTGTGTGTGGATATTGTGTAGATCAGCCGTGTGTGTGGATATTGTGTAGATCAGCTGTGTGTGTGTGTGGATATTGTGTAGATCAGCTGTGTGTGTGGATATTGTGTAGATCAGCCGTGTGTGTGTGTGTGTGTGTGTGTGTGTGTGGATATTGTGTAGATCAGCCGTGTGTGTGGATATTGTGTAGATCAGCCGTGTGTGTGTGTGTGTGTGTGTGGATATTGTGTAGATCAGCCGTGTGTGTTGTTCTCTGGTGTGTTGTGTGGACTGTAATGATATTTGCTCTCTCCTGACAGAGACTCTCTGGGTTCAGCACATGCGTTGCCTTCATTTCTGTCAGATTAATCCTAGCCTCTGCACAGACTCTGAAAGGTAAGAATGACTTTGTTTCTATCATAAACGCTTGAAGTGAGAGAAGACAAAGTACTGTGGGAAAGGTTATCTAGGTAGTCTAAATTATAGACACACTTACTCAACAGCCCCAACTTCCTTTTCCAGCTACTGTTCACAGCATAACATTAATACAATTTAGTCCATTAAATTTCAGACAAAACTATCCAGCAGCCTACACAAGTGAATGCCAGTGTCCCTCAAACAGATGAGCACAGTACAGATGCATTTTACATTGATCATTTAGCAGACACTTTTGTCCAAAGCAACTCACAAATGAGGAGGCATTCAGTGACTGAAGGCAACACACACAAGAAATGCTGCTTAAACAGAGGAACTGATAAGCGGTAGAGTAAGGAGCAGAAGGGGAATAATGGAAAGTCAATTATAGCCTCTCTGTGATGATGCCCCAAGGCAGTGCTCACTCCCTGACCGCAGGCTTCTGGAAGGGGTGCAGACCTTCAGCAGCAGGTGGAGGTGTAAGGGCACAGTGCTGTCCTGTAGGCAAGCATCAATGATTTGAGCTTGATCTGAGGTTTGAGCTGTATTCGAGGCTCATTGCAGGAGTCCAGCCTTCTGATGATCAGAGCTCACACTGCAGGGCTCAGTGCTCAAATCAGAATTTTGCTCAGATCTGATTTTCTGCTTAGCGTTCACATTGTTCAATGGTTAGTGTGTGGGTAACAAGCGGCAGCTGTCCTTAAAAAACAGACAAAATCAAAAACGTTGAGTTGTTGGGGAAAAGTATCTGCTCTGTGTATATTCCACTTAGCCGCTGAGGAGTAGAAGCTGTTTACAGCACGAACCAACACAGAATAATGCGTGATGCGTGTCGATCGAAAATGATGTAAAAGACACATGAATTCCGACACAAGCGTTCACACAGCAGTCGGATTGAAAAACACGAGATCTCTATTGATCATATATGGGGTGACCGGTTTTCCTCTGGCTCGCTGTGGAGAGTGGTTTTCCTATGGGGCAACTGGTTTTCTTTTGGGGTGACAGATTCCCCTTTGGGCCAACCTGTTCACCCCTGGGGGTATATGATCTGTATATCACATATGAAAATGGCACAAATCAGAATTGAAAATACCAGTTTCCACACAGTTTGGGTTGTCATGATGAAAACAGATCTGAGTCACATGTGGGCAAAAAAAATATCTGATTGGGGCCACATTTGCCTGCAGTGTGAACGTAGCCAGAGCTGCGCAGCGTGATCTGTTAGGAAAGTCAGTGAACTGTTGAAGCTGTGATTGTGCGCTCACTGGAGCCATGCTTCTGCATTAATGACAGTTGTGTTTGCTTCAGACAGTTGTGTGGTTGTGGGTCCAGAGATCCCAGATTTTCACACTCCAGGTGAGGCCGTTATCATCAGATTCCCGTTTCTGGAAGATGCCATTCGTTATAGGAGATTACGACTGGATAACAGCTCCTCATTCCATGTGAATCACACGAGTCTGAGTAACCAGAGCAGTCTGAGGCTGCACCGAGACCGGGTAAAGCTGAGTGGACGCGGGGTCTTACTGCTGCCGGGCCAGACCACAGACTCCGGAACCTACAGCTACACCCTCAGGTCAGACCGATTTACCTCCAGCTTCACTCTCAAGTCAGACAGCTTTACCTTCAGCTACACCCTCGGGTCAGTCTATACCTACAGCTTCACCCTCGGTTCAGACCAATTTACCTTCAGCTTCACCCTCAAGTTAAACAATTTTACCTTCAGCTACACTTTCAAGTCAGATTGATTTTCCTACAGCTACACCATCAGATCAGAACTTACCTACAGCTACACCCTCAGGTCAAACATCTTTACCTACAGCTACACCAGATTTACTTTCAGCTACACCCCCAGGTCAGACAGATTTACCTACAGCTACACTTTCAGGTCAGACTTTACCTGCTCAGACTCTACCTTCAGATTTACCTTGAACTACACCCTCAGGTCAGACTTTACCCGGTCTACAGCGGGGTGTGTGTATATGTGTATTCATGAACAAGGCAGTCGTGCTGCATCATAGGCCTGGGCTTTTCCTTTCATTACAGTGCAATTTTAACAGGTTATGTGAAGAGTTGTGTTTTTGTTTGTGTAACTACTGTTACTGGTGTGTTTTTCCTGCAGGAGTGACACATTCTGTCTGACGGGGAGTATTTCCATCACGGTGTCTGCAGATCTGAACACCACAGTAATGCCCTTCAGCACATATGCAGGAGCAGACACCAGGATCATCTGCCCACATCTACAATACTACACACGGACACAAAACGCCAGGTGGCACAAGGTAGATCACCACACACTGTGAGAACCAGACCTGAACAAATGATCTAAGCAGGAGCCTGTACCATGCAGCTCGATTAGCTGGCTCGCCCGTTACGTTTCAGTTTGCACCAATCTCTGTTTTTAGGTAACATGAAGGCAGCTCAGCTTTAATCTCTCAATAATAATATGGAGCAGCTGAGCTGAGCTACCTTCAAGACACCTAGAACCCAGAACTCAACAAACTTAACAGTCTAGCTAACTCATCTCGCTTCATTGCATAGCCTAAGTACTGTTTCTGAGCTGTTTGTGGCTGTATTTCTGAGATGGTCATTGCTTTACTACAGAATTTTGAGAGCAGAGCGCTCCCTGTTGGCAGAGGAAGGTACAGCATTGAGAAGGGCATCATTCTGGCCATCAGAAACATCTCTGTGGAGGACGAGGGCTACTACACCTGCAGACTGACTGTGGTGGTCAACAACGCACAGTACAACGTCAGCCGCACCTGGAGAGTGCACGTGACAGGTGAATGACTGAATGAATGTGAGTGCCCAGTTAATGAGTGAATGGATGGATGGATGATATGGGTGTTATGAGCATGTCTTCTGCTCTGTGTC